TCCACAAGGACAGTGTTTTTAATAAATAGTGTTAAGTCTACTGGATAGCCACATAACAAAAAAGAAAATGTTTTTTTAAAGAACATTATTTAATTTTATTTATTATTATTATGTCCTTTTTATATTTTTGAGATTTTTTTTTTATATAGGGTACATGCACGAGAGAGACAGAAAGTGAGAAATCACTCCCCAGCAGAGATGGCCACACTGCCGTCCCTTCTCCTCCATTCTCCTCTTGGGATCTTGGGCACACACATGTGTTTTAAGCCACTGGATCCGAACTTGAACTGGGGTCGACTACATGAGAGTCCAGCAATGTAACCATTATGCCATCTGCTAGCCCCATATTATTATTTTCTTTTAAAAATTGCTATAGGGCATGTCCACCTACCAGAGACAGAGAGAGAGGGAGAGAGAGAAAGTGAGAAAAAAAGTCGCCTGGTCCAAGACTCAAACCACGGTTGGCCATGTGGGAGTCCAGTGCCTTAACCATCATGTCACCTGCTGGTCTCCCTTTTTTTAAGGTTTATTTATTTATTCTATGAGACAAAAGGAGAGAAGAAGAGATATACCTCCAACAGGGACTTCACACTGTACCTTAGTCCACCTGGATCATGGGTACATGCATGCCCCGTGTATATAAAGAGACTTTGGGCCATGAACCTGGGACCTTCTCATGTGGGTTCAGCATCACAGAGTTTTGTGCTATGGCTGTGCCAATGTAGCTGGCCCAGAGAAAGTAAATTTTGACCCCTGTCTTATACCATGCATAAAATTAACTCTAGAAGGATTGCAAATATAAAGGTGAAAGATAAAACAATCAAGCTTCTACAGGATGATCTAGAAGAAAATCTTCCTGGCCTTGGGATAGACAAATATTTCTTAAACAGGTTATAAAAATCTCTAAGTGTAAAGGAAAAGATTGATAAGTTGGACAAAGTTAAAATTAAAAACTGCTGCTTGTTGAAAAATATCATTAAGAAAGTGAAAAGAGCAGGGCATAGACTAGAAGAGGTTTGGTAATACGTATAACCAATTTGCATCCAAAATATATGAAGAATTACCTACAAATCAGAAAGAAAAAGAAAAAGACAGGCTAGCAGGTGGCGTGGTGGTTAAGGTGCTAAACTCTCATATAGTTAACCACGGTTCAAATGTGTGTGTGTGGCCAAAATCCTAACAGGAGAATGGAGAAGGGATTGCAGCACAGCCCGGGTGTGGGCACGGGTAACTTCTCACTTTCCATTCCTCTGTCTCTCTCCAGCGATCACATGTACCTTATGGCAAAAGCCTGAAAAAAAAAAAAAAAAGAAAAAGAAAAAGAAAAAAGGCATACAACCCAATAGAAAAATGAACACATGACAAAATATATTTTTTATAATAAATAAAGAAAAAAACCCATAAGGGTGACAATATCTTTCCTAGGAAAATATACCTACACCAAGTTTTCTCAGTTTGGACCTTGTGACCACAATTTAGTGGCAACACACTCAGAGAGAAAAGGCAGCTGAAACTATAAAAACCAAAGTTATGAAGTGACAGCTTTAATCACAGACTAAGTTAAAATAAATGTGTTGGCCTGAGTCAGGTGGCTTATGTGAAATAGAGCAAACAATTTGCCTCAGAGAAGACAGCAGCTGGCCTTAACTCACTCGGTGCCATAATTAAAGTAGCATCCATCCCGTATGTGTCAGAGAAATGGCCTACACAGAAGAGTAAAGAGACGACCCGTCTTGCAACTGACATCGGTCAGCAGTCAAGGAACTAATCATCTATGCCACAATGGCATCTGTTTCCTACATGGTACAGTAGTCATTACCAGTTTCCTCTTTACCTAAGACCCATGTGTATAAAGATGCATATTCGCTAACATTTCAGCTGAAGTTACCTTGCAAAGAAAGCTACCAAGGGCAACCATTGGCAGAGTGGCTCAGATACAGCACTTTACCCATGATCCCAGAATGACTCAGCACTGACTGGCAAATAGACTACTGATAACCACCATTGGATTCTCTTAACTAACTGGTGATGTGGACAGTATTTCTCCATTCTAAAAATAAGGGAACTTGGACCAGTAGTTAGCGTAATGGCTATGTCGCTGAACTCCCATGTAGTCGACTGCAGTTTTGAGCCCTGGCACCGGTGGCTTAAACTCACACGAGGCGCGTGTGCGTGCATGCCCAAGATCCCGAGAGGAGAATGGAGGAGAAGGGACTGCGATGTGGCCATCCCCGCTGGGGGATGATTTCTCGCTTTCTGTCTCTGTCTTTCTGGTGAGCACACATGCTCTATAGCAAAAAAAAAAAAAAAAAAGGAGGAAACTGAGGCCCAAGGAGTTCAATGTCAAATGTGAAGAGAATACTAAATAGGTAGAAGAACAAATGCTTTACTCGAGTTTTTTAGGTTCAAGCTTCGTGTTCTTTTCATGCTACTACATTCAGTGATTAGGGATCTAATGGTGAGGGATAAACGGGTGGTACTGATGCAAGAAATCACATACCTGAAATACCAAAGCCAATGATGAGCACAATTGCTCCAGCCAGGATAATGATGATGCTAATAATGCTATGGAAAGGGAGAAAACAGGCAATTACTTCTTCATCCATTTGACATGCTGCTTTGTGACCTACGTACACATCTTTCATGTCTATATAAGGCTTCTCAACTTCTTCCACATAAGCTCCTTTCTAGAAATAGGTTCTTTGGAATGGAATCTCACCAAATCCATCTCCATCCTTGTCAAATGGTGGGCTAGATTAAGGGAGTGGCCCTTTCATCTGATCATGTCATCTTAATTTCCTATTACCAGCTCAGGGAAGACCATATGTGTAGACTATTGGGGCAAGACTGATGATGACATCTTCATGATGACAGGTGTCCATTGAGGGAGCTGGTCCCATACTCAGCCTACCCTGAGCACTGCTCTTGGATCGTTTGTCCATTTGTGTTGTCTCCACTTTAAACTCCACTGAGGACAGTGGTCACGTTTTCTTCATTTTGTACTCACTCATATGTAGGCCACAACACTCCATAGATGCTCAGCTAGAGCTTGTTTTCTTTTATTAAAAGAGTAATATATGTATTGAAGAAAGTTTAGAAAATATAAATAACAGAAAACAAAACAATGAAATCATCTATAATTCTATCATCTAGACACAACCACTATTGTTTTTAAAAATATGTACCCTACTAGTTTTTATTTTTAATTAAAATTTTAAGTTTACTTTTTCATTTCTTCCATGAGCAAGAGGGAGAGAGAAAAAGAGAGGGAGAGAGAGGTGTCCCTAATGGGGTCTCGATGCCTTCGTCCTGCCTCAGATTCAGCCAGCTCTGGGTCCTGGGCACATTCATGCCCAGTGTTCTCAGGAAGGTCTCTGGGCATAAGCCCAGAGCCTTCCCATGTGGGTCAGCTTCACAGTGTGCCATCATCCAGCACCATCCTGCCAGTTTTTAATTAACAGTCTAACAAATGACAAAGGAAATTATACAAATACGGAAGTATTGCTTCCATCCACTAAGTGCTAAAATTACGTGGCAGATATGTTCCAAGCACCAGTTATGGCTTATATCATTTATCCATTCAGTAACCTTATGAAATGAATAAACGTATCATATTCATTTTATAGATGAGGAAGTGACACAGGGAGATTAAGCATCTTCCTGTAAGTCACATCGTTGGCAAGTGGCAGAGCTGAGATTTAAATCTGTATCTCCAGTCTGTACGCAATTACTTCCTACATGGTGTTCCAAGGATAGGGCTCACAAATGGGGCATGTCCCTCCCCTCTGCCTGTGGGAGTCCAGGTTAGGGACACCAGCTTTAGCTGATGACAGTGATTCAGGCAGAGAAGAAGGCACAGGTGTGTTGGCAAAGTCGTCCCTGGGAAGCTCCCCTACTGCTGTCTGCTCTGGTGCATATATGTCACCAGACAGGAGTCCTCAGCCACACTCTCACATGGCTGGCAAGTCACACACTCCCCACGCCCACACATGAGTTACTCAATAGGGAGGACAAAAGAAAGGCACAGGATGGCAAAGAATGATGCTGTAGAGAGAAAAAGGAAGCATGGGGCATTTTACTTTCTGCCTTGAACAGGTTCATTGTACTCAGCTCTCCTTGGCTCAGGGATGGGCCCACCAGAAAGCAATAACAGACTTGAGTAAACAATTTCCCTGGAGATCAAGCCCTCAAGAGGTGTATCCATAGGGGCAGTAAATGAGGCTTTTGATAATAGGACACTTGCTAACTTGATTCCAAGAGGAGAACACATTTGACCACTTCCCATACCTCAGTGCAACCTCAGTTCTTACTGATCTAAGCGTGTGAGAACAGCTAAACAAGCTCAGAGGGAGGCACCATCGGGCCTTCTGACTACTGAGCCAGACAGCAGACTTGTATTTGTGACCCGGGGTTTTTGCTTGGGGTAAGTTGATTCATCTCTCTGAGTCTCAGGTTCTTTATTCGTAAAGTGGGAATAAGAGTAATCCCTGCTTTACCTGGTGTAGCGGTGTTAGAAGTTGCATGTATTCCCCCAAATTTTACATGTTGAAGTCCTAGCAGAATGTGACTTAACTTGGAAATAGGGTCATCAGAGAGGTAATTAGCTAAGATGAAGCAATATTGGAATATGGGTGGGAATTCAGCATTACTGGTGTCCTCACGAAAAGGCAAAATTTAGACCCAGACACATATGCAGACAGGGAGAACACAAAAATGAAAGCAGAGATATATTGGATCATAAGAAAAATGACTTTTCCGAAGACCCAGTATGATAAGCCAAGGGACAGCAAAAATTATCAGGAAACCACCAGAAGCTGGGAGGAAGGGACAGAACAGATTCTCTCATAGCTCTCAGAAGGAACCAACTCAACAGACACAATGACCTTGGACTTCCAGCCTCCAGAACTGGGAGACAATAAATACATTTGTTTTCAAGCCACCTTGTTTGTGTTGCTTTGTTACAACAGCCTTAGCAAACTAATACAACAGGGTTGTTTTAGGATCGGATTAGACAATTAATCTGGCATAATCCATAAAGGAATATTTATATATATATTTATTTTACTGTGAATATAATTTACCTGTAGCCATTTACTGTAAACTCATTGTTAAGAGCTATGACTTTTAAGGCATTGTTGGGAGGGAGCCAGACAGCAGGAACACCAAACAGATCTCCAGACACTCACCAAGAGGAGGGGGACAGTAGAGGCCATGTGTTTCCAGCAGAGCACCCCACCTATCTCCACCACCCCCAGGCCCACCTGTTCCTCTTGTTGTGGAAGCAGAACCCCGTCATCTGTCAGCAAGTGCCCTGTCGAAGCAGGAATCACCTTGAGGTTTGTCTGAGCTGCTATTCCCTGGGGAAACAGTTCAACCTCTAGAGCCTTGGAAAGGGAAGCAGGAACTATCTGAGCAGCCAAATTAAATAATTCCTGTCTGCTGCTTATTAATTTTTAAAAAAAGATGAATAAAATATTTCACATAAGGTGTTCTTACATTGTGTTCTGGTCTTTACTTTCCCAGAATAATTTCCAATAACTATACTACAGGAAATTTTTTATGCAACACCATGTCTTCTACCCACTGCCTCAGAATTCACAGTGCACTTTCGTTAAACACCCTTTATGAAAGGATCCAGATGAAAGTCAACACTTAGGGGGCTGGCAGGTGGTGTGGTGTTTAGGGGCACTGGGCTCCCACGTGACTGGCCACAGTTTGAGTCCCGAACCCAGTGACTTGCTGCTCCCTCACTTTCTCTCCTTCCCTGCTTTCTGCTCAAATTGAAGTGGGTAAATAAATAAATAAGTAAACAAAATAAAGTTCAATAGAGTAATTCTTTTTTTTTTTAAAGTCAAGACTTTGGATGGACTTGCTTATTTACTAAATATTTATTAAGAACTTACTATGAGAAAGATACGGTGCTGGGTAATATGGGGGAAATAAAGAGATGAGTCAAAATCCTTACCCACAAGGAGCTTATTGTTAAATTGAGGGCACACACACACACACACACACACACCACTTTGTAATAATACAAGGCAGAATGTGATCAAGGCTTTAAGAAAGAACCAATTCTCGGAATTCTGAAGAGTTAGGGAATATTGAAACCTAGGAGAAACAGGGAGCATCAAAGTTTATTTCCACAAACAAATTTCAAAGAAAGCAAAGAGACTTTATTGAGAAATAGATTTGGCTAATCCACAGTGTTGCATACCCTCTGTTCAAGGCAGAAACACACACACACAGGGTTATTTTTGCTGCACTGGGTGGAGTCTGGACCTGGGTATTACACTTCAGTGCTATGAGAGAGGAAGGTGCTTTCAGGAGCTGCAAAACTAGAGTCTTCCAGATAAGGGACTAGTTTTGCAGGATGGAATGCTACCAAACATGCCCCCGCCTACCCAAGGATGGCTTGTCCAGGTCCTTTGCATGTCTTTATTTCAGTTGCTGCTGGCTTCTGCAGCACTTGAAAGACACTTATCTGTTAACATGTCCGTTAAAACTTGATATGTGCATTCCTGGAAAAACCTTGCATTCAGCAAAATTGCACAATCAAGGTAGCGGGGCTTATGGGGAAATAAACCCATAAAATAAGTGGTTGAGGGCAGACCACTCAAAACCTATGTACCACTGTAATTTGTCTACTAACAGGAACAAAAATTGGTACCTTGAGAGATAACTTGGACAGTCAAGGTCAGCAGGACCACAAGCTGTTTCAGAGGCTATTAAAAATGTGTAAAGATAACAAAATGGACAATTTGGCTGTAGGTACTGTTGGCCAGTGGGGTTGCTGTGAAGGTGGACACAGGGGAGGTATAACCTGGGACATAGAGGGCCACGATGTCCTCCTCTGGGGAGGGAGTCCCAAGTGCAGGTGTTCATTTACATTCAAAGGGCAAAATAACACAAAAAACAGAACTGAAAGCCATGCTGAGCCTTTCCCACAAAAGCAGTCTGTTACTTCAGCTCTCCTTGCCTTGGGGAAAAATAAAATGCATGTGAAGGGGCCAGCAGGTGGCGTGGTGGTTAAGGGTGCTGAACTCCCACATGGCCAGCCATGGTTTGGGTCCTGGACCTGGCGACAGACTTGTTTTCTCACTTTCTCTCTCTCTCTCTCTCTGTCCTTCTCTGATCAAATTAAAAATAAATAAATAAAATAATTCTTAAAAACATGCTTGTGAACCAAAACAACTTTCATGCTGTACTGTCATCAGTTCCCTATTTTCCAACCACATATGAACTAATGTGCTGTAGAAACACATTTTATGAAAGACTGACAAGTCCAACAACTCTGTGAGGAAATACTGCTGTCACTATCCTTTCACATGTGGGGAAACTGAGGCTTAGGTTAAGTAACAGAACAAAGCTCTCACAGGTAGAAAGTGGGAGAGTCCGGTTTCCAACCCAGGGAGCCTGCTCATGAGCTTTCACTCTTAGTATACACTGAGCTTCTAGAAGTCTCATATGGCAGGAGGCCACAAGTTTGGAAGGCTCCTCTCCTCTCCACCCCTGCATATCTCCTCTAGCTCCTTTTCTGAAACGAGGGTTTTCTGGATCCACTACAC